CTAGCAACAAAAACTAAAAGTGCTGTGAAAGATTAGAAGATAATGATTTGGATGTCAATTTTGAGAAAACTCCGAATGTTGTGGTTAGCACCTCAAAGGCGTGACCTACTACTGTCAGTAGGAGTAGAGGGACTCGTCTGTCTTCCAAAATTTATAGTTTACAAATATCTTTTATATACATCAGAAACAAGAGTGGACCTAATACACTTCCCTGGATAACTCCACTGGTTATTGGTCTTGGTGATGAAAGTCAATCGTTGTAATTAACCATTTGTTGAAGTCCATTTAGGAATGAAACAAACCATGAATACCGTGGGTTAATGATTCCAAATTACTTTAGTTTAAGGAGAAGCCCTTTGTGTGAGACCTTATCAAGAGCTTTCTTAAAGTCGAAGAAAAGGACTGATACTAAAAGCCCTTTGTCTTATTTTTGCGTAATGTCATTCAGATAATCTATCCGACATATATCGCATGACATGGACCTTACGAACCCATACTGTGAGGTCGATATGGGATTTTTATTAAGTAGGTGTTGTATTAACGCTCTCTTTGCTACTGTCTTTATCACCCTAGAAACTACTGAGATAATGTTTATTGGTCGGTAATTTTAAACATTCGCTGTAAGCCCATATGTTATTGTTAAGATGATATGTGTACTCTTCCAGTTATTAGTTAACATTCTGTAGAGAGTAATATGGTGAGTAAATAATTAACGATCATTAATATGAACCAACAAAAGACCAGGCATGGGGTAAGCATGTTAGTAACTGCAGTATCTTCAACCGGTCTTCCGGGATAAAGATGATTGATCATCAAAATGAGAATTATCGTTCAGTTTCCTGATAAAATTAACCGCTTGATCGTAATCATATCAACAGAACCGATTCATACTCCAAAACGATGCAAACTTACTAGTCCAGGGTTATCTCGAGAAGTGAATTAGTGAGGATCAAGTAAGTTAGTTTTACTGGAGCAAACTGGAATAATTCATATGTCTTGAATGGTTACCAGACCACCTTTTGTTCTCTTTAGGCCTACCGAACGAAATCACAGATGATGATCTTGGTCTTCAGGGGTTTTGTCCCTCATCATGTCAACTCATTTGATTGCATTTCGTGACATTCATATCCACTTTGAAGAGAAGAGGTACGATGATATCGTCACTTTCTGGACCTCGGCTGATTCCAGTCAGAAATGTCATCTGAAATAACTCAGAAACCAGAACAACCGACTGCCTGTCAAAGGGTAGTCCCAAGCTAAACCGCATGGACAGTCGTCGCTGGTGCTCAAGCGTCCAATAAGTATTAGACCTAAGAAGGTCTTCTTCTGTATAGCAGACAAACAGTTTTCATATCTAACATTCTGCTTCTGCTTACAGTAAAAATTTTTTGTGAGATTCTGAATGTGCGAGTAAGGTGTTAGCTCACATTAGATTTCAATATCCTCTTACTTGAAAATCAAGAGTAAATACTAATACAGCGAGGTTCCAGATTTTGGTCGGCTGGCAACTTTATTTATATTCATAAAAAAGCCCATGCGATTTCAGAGGACAAGTATTGTTCTACTGAATTTAATGTATTGTTTTGATCATTTGATATTGACGAAGACAACTGTTTTTACTTAACTTCATGTAAACTAACCTTATGAGTATTCCTTCTTCTCAAAAGCGGGTTTGCTTCTGTATTTTATTAGGCCCATCAGTCTCCCCAGTATTCTGAACGGTTACACTAAACAGTTCTTTTCTACTGTTTCTTAGCTTTTGTATCCACATGTCTTAGTGCCTCAGCAATTTCAAGCATCTTTTTTTGAGTTGAGTAAAAAAGCATCTACCAACTGTTGGAATGACGACACCGCGTGAGAAATGACCTACCGTCAGATGAGTGCAAAGGGTTTGGTCGAATCTAACATATTCAGCTTTCAGTGGTCTACCAAAAATGGTTTGGTCGAATCTAACATATTCAGCTTTCAGTGGTCTACCAAAAATGAGTCGGTCTGGTTATGCTAACAAAATTTATCAGATGCAAAGAGTTTGCTATTGGAAGCCATTGCTGTAGGGAACATTACCAGGACGCATATTAGCACGTGTAATCAATGTGAGTCTAGTGATGATCCCTGTGTAAACAAACAAATTGATGTGCAGTTATCTCAATAAAGCTCAGATTCGATTGACTTATAAGTGTTAAAGGTGGACTCACCGACTACACTGAGTTCTGTCAATAATAGAAACTTGAGGCATTTGGCAGGAAATATCTAGAAAACCTATTCGTAAGTCTGGGACTGTTTCTAGTAGGACAAACAATAGCCCAACCAACTAATCATCGACAGTCATTCAAGATCTCACACTATATTTAATTCAGCTGTGGTTTCTACCGCCATGAAAACTGACGAATGAGTACAGTTAAATAACCAGAAACGTCTTGAGAGAAATTCCATGCTCCACGACAATAATTCAGAAATCTAGTGCTTGTCATAATGATAAGCCGACCATTCCAAACATGGTCCAAAAGTTAGAAGCTCTGAACCTGAAATTCACTCCGAATCTAGCAGTGGATTGGTGAAAGGTCGAATAGATAGACTATTGATTCTAAATATCCATCAGGTCACCTTGCTGAAAGTTTATTGCGAAGGAAGCCTAACGGACTTACAAGAAAAATCAAGCCAAGTGGCTAACAACAATATTTAAATCTCTTAGTGAAATCGATACATCAGACACAGAATTAAAAATATGCAACTACAGTATATATTCAGTGGTGATTTACGGCATCACAAAACAGTCTTACATGTAAGAAAATGTTAAGTTTGTTTGAATGAATCACAAAAGATTTTTATAAGGCTTACAAAAATTCGGGGATTTCGAGGTGTGCGGTTGAGGGACTTCTGCTCTAGCTATTATCAGCCTGAAAAGTTTTGTGAGTTATTGACCTGTATGAATAAAATAAAACCAATGTATGTTTTGAATGTGAAAGGGTTTGTACTTTTATTAGGGTATCACAGTTATTTCGAAGAATTGTATGAATTGCTAGAAAATAATAAGTAATCTAACCAAAGTTGATATAACGTCAAATAAAAGTGAAGCAACAAGACAAAGCATCGAATGGGTAAAAAGCAGAGGAAGAGATTAATATACAATCTTTTAATGGAACCATGACACCCAAACTCAACATTCTCTTAAACTCATAATTTCAACAACTTTGTTTCGATTAACCTTTATGTTAATTATCTATCAGGGTTATATATATTTAGAATTACTTACTGGACGTCAGTTCCGATCATTTTTGCTTGTTAATAGCTTACTAATTGATCTATAGGAAACTATTAATGAAAACAGACGTTATTTCCCTTTAGATCAAATGACAACCTTTTAGATTTTTAAAACTATTTTGGTTATCCATTGGTTCATATTAAAAAATTTCATGATGTTACTTTCAGTCATAATCTCAGGATTGATACTCGTGTGTATTCTACTTCGATTTACAGAAATATTCAGTATTTTTACTAGATATACTACTATTAAATCACTCAAATTTTACTTATATATGACTAGTCCTGGAGAGTGATCATATCTAATTATGAATCAAAGGCTTTTGATACTAATAATGCAGATAACTTTGTACATGCAATTGGAAATGAAATAAACAGACCCGGAGATTATGTCCAAAAATACGAAACGATAAGTTTGAATAAAACCAAGGTTAAATACTGTCGAGAAGGACCTATATAATTGTGAATTATCCTTTCTGTGGATGTTCGATATACAATCTAATATCTCTTCACTTCACACAATTTATCTACCCTTATACTTAAATATCTTGTTGTTATTGGTTACGCCATCATTAGTCTTGATCTGTCTGTGGTCATCATATCTTAATCTTACAAATATATGAACAATTCAAAAACTAATATCTGATGACAACAATAAAATTGGCTGAGTTAGCATAGTTTGTGATAAGGTTGTTTCTGTAATCATTTTATACTTTTTGTAAAACTAAAATCTCGTGAAAATATATAACGGCTCCCATAGAGCTATTAGTATAATCACTGCTTACTACTTTTTCATTGATAAACACTTCAGTACTCGATGTAGAATTCGCTGTTTTATTTATCTGATGCAAATTTCAAACAACAAAATCAGCAGTTTCAATCTTAACACAGTTTTAAGTACGCGTTTGGTTGATAAACCATATGATAACCATCTATCCTAGCGACCATATTTTCAACATAAGAAAAAATAGCTTAAAAAGTATCAGTTTGAGTGTCCTAAGCCTACTTTATACCCACCTTTTTCTCTATTCATCCCCTCTCCAGTTGGTTTTCGATCAAGTGAGAAATAATAATCTTGGACGTATTGTAAGAGGTAAAAATGGGAAGTCGGTTGATAAAATGAATCTGTATCCACTAAGCTGACTGAAAATGTACCATGTGTTTCTAGTCAGTGACTACCTCAATGTACAATAGTAAGAAGCATAACAGTCGGTTGGATAAAAGCTTCTTTTGGGGTTGGCCTAAGACGCGACAAACATTATCAAAACGATCTACCTTTGATCACAGTTTTGACGAATGTTATAGTATACATAATAATTCCGATCAATAGTCAAATAACGTAGGCTATAATGTATATTCTTCAATTTTACTGCAATGCTTCTAAAATCCTTCATGATCAATTCTTTAATATCATTGGCACTCATTGTTACAACTTGTCTCATACTGTTAATTCTACTCGATATGTTGATGTCTAAGTAAAAAGTTCTAGTTAAATCTTTTTTTCTTGAATGTCACGCAAAAACTTTAAAGCAACTATCTTTATATATTCTACCTCTTTTTTTTTCAACTTGCCAGCTTAGAAACATTTAAACCTAGACCGATGGAAGAAAAAACTGATCAACTTCTATTAAGTCATGATAATCTCGATAGAGCTTCACCTGATTTATGGCCAGAACAAAGTAATTCTTTGATTTCTATTTTTACTTAGTTTCTGGTGTCACTGAATTTCTTACATCTAGACAAAATGAAATTAATTTACACACTCCTCCAAAATATGCGACTGATTTGGATAAAGAAGATTTAGAACTGATTCATGGTAATGATTGTTTTTTTTTCTGATAGTTAATATTGGCACGTCAGATTTTGGAAGTTTGTCAACTCAACAACTAATGGATAAAATTAAACATTTACAAAATTTAGCTTATCAAGTTGGATTAGAAGAAGGTTTGTTCAAAGTATTAATATTTAAACTGACATTTTTTTTCAGCAAAAGAAATGACTCGTGGGAAATTTTTAAATATTCTTGGAAAACGCTGACATTCTCGATTTTGAGAATGAATTCAACTATGTTTTAGTCGTTGTTTTTGTTGAGATTATCTATTTTAAACTAACCCTGTTTATGATGTTATTATGCTATTTTTCTGTTATAATTCATAAATCTATAATATTTTCCTACAAATTATCACTTGTAATTTCTGTGTGTAATGCTGCATCTTAGTATCGGAGTAAATCATATTGACTACTATAAGGAACGTAGGTAGCCGTTTTATTCCTGGTCGTTATTTGCTTTAATAGATGAATCCCGTCAAATAAGATAATGACTGTCTGTCAGTTGTAGTTGACGTTAAATATCACGACCGGGATAAAAAACAAAGGAAAGGAGCTAATCCTGACTTCAGTTTAAATTTAAACATGATCAAGATAAGAAAACAAGTGCTTTCGAAGAATAAAAAGCTAGCAATAACGCAACTCAATATTTGGAGTGAGATAAAGTTAGAAAACGCGTACTAAGTAACTTCTAATTTCCAGCGATTGATTACAATTATTCAAGTTTAGTGCAACCAAGACGTTTACACTTTCGGACATAAATTTAGCCAACAATAGATGACTTTGTGAATAAACATCATGCTTCCATCTTATTTATTCCTATATTAGACGAGAGTAGTGTTAGCCGCTGCCAAATTGTGGCACAGACGCAATACCCACGTGCTAAACAGATGTAACTGTTGTGCACCAACCCACGAAGTATTATTGAGCAGCTGTAAAATATAGTTTTCGAAAGCAGACACATGTATGTTTTGTCTCATATATCTCTTCAAAGTATTACTTGTGTTTCGTTGGAGAACCTAGTGAGCAATATTGAGGCTGGTGAGACGATACTAATGAAGGTGAGGAATCGGTTAATATGGCTCCGGATGTTTATCACTTGAGTTGATTAGAACATGTTTTACGCATCCTCAGTCACTGCCCACCTGGCCAGATAGCAATTATCAGTGTAGGCTGAAAAAGGATAGGAGATACACTAAAATAATATCTGTTCACAAAATACGTCATTGTTGGTCTAAGCTATGTCGGTAGATGTAGACTATCTGGCTGAGCTCGGTGCAATGACGATTACCAGTGGCTGGGAGCTTTAGGTTACATTGCTCAGAATCGTTCACGATAACGAAATGCATTCGCTTTATCTGCCTATTAATCTTAAATCTCAGTACTTACCTATATGCACCTTCCCGCTGTTTTTTTTCGGGCCATATTCACAATGCTTACTTTTTCTCAGTCCTTGCTGCTGCTATACTATTCCAGTCTCTTATGCATCTTGTGAATTTCACTTCACCTCGCAGTAACATAGTAAATCGAACCAACGCACACATATACCAGTCTCTACGTTGCTGATGACTAACTGCAGTATACGACCTAATAAGCTGTTAGCCCTCCGAACCTTTATGAAGTTGAAAAAGCTATAGGAAATCTGATTCGAGGGAGAGCAGCAGGACCCAATAGATTGACTCCAGAGATTTTTAAGGATGGTGGTCCAGTTTTAGCAGCTAGATTGACTGAGATCTTAGGTAGGACCTAGACATAATCCCATCCGACTGGTCTCAATCCCTGATTGTACCAATTTGTAAGAAAGGACATAAGTCTTCTTGTGACAGTCACAGGGGAATAAGTCTAATTAATATAGTTTCTAAATTGTTAGCCTCGAATATACTTAGACGCCTAACTAGAGCTCTTGAAGAGCAGTCTCGAGAAAACCAGACTGGTTTCAGACCTGGACGTGAATGTATAGACCACATTTTCACACTACGACAGGTCCTGGAACAGACACATTTAGGCGTCCTACAATAGTTGTTTTTCTGGACCTTAAGGCGGCATTCGACTCAGTGGATCGTGAGATTTTATGGCAAGGTCTGTCACTGAAAGGCGTACCGAGGAAGTACATTAACCTTATACAAGCTCTCTACTCGAACACCGGTCGGGTGAGAACTAATGGCGAACTGTCATCAGAATTGTCTACTTCAAGTGGTGTTCGTCAAGGGTGTCCACTTTCCACATTCTTGTTTAATTTTGTGATAGACATGCCCCTAGATATAACCTTATCCTCGTCCCACTTTTCAGGAGTCGACTTTCTACTAGGAAAATCGCTTATTGACCTAGAATATGCCGACGACATAGTTCTATTTGGTGAAGACGCTGACAAAATGCAGAGTCTCCTGACTATCATAAGCAACAATGCAAGCATGTTCGGGATGCGGGTCCGTGAGACGAAAGTCACCAATGGTTAGAGACCTTGAATGACATGGCTCAAAATCGTTTGCAATGGCGCAGGTGCATCCACTCTTTGTGTTCTCTCTAATTCTAAGCTTCTGCATTCCTCATAATTTCTACCTTTCACCTTCTAAATTTATCTCACTGAATAATACTTCTCGAATTATATCTTCGCTCCCTAATCTTCTCCATTACTGCTAATACTCCTACTATTGCTATCATTCTTGGATTTGAACTGACAGTTGCGTCTCTGTGCTGATGTGGTATGGCAACCTGAACTGATGTACATACGTAGGAAGTTCTGCGTTGTATCTGTCTGTCTACCGTCAATGACTATTGTCACACAAATATTTACGTAGTGTATCAAACGAATTTCGATCTTTACCAACGGAAGTTTATCTTTGCATGTTTATTTGGAATATCATGTCATTGATGCCGAAAGGAACACTTATCATCGAGCAAAACACAATACGATGTAAATCTTATGTATACCGTGAGACTGGGTAATTGCTGCCTCACAAGGAAGGAAGGGGTTAGAAAAGGTCAACCCTAAAAATGTTGATTTATGGAATTTATAGACAGCAGACCACTAGGTATCAGTCTAAAGGCTAAAACTTAAGCAATCCCTTTGAGGCTTAAAGATCCTGGGCATTATGGATGTGCATTGCTGAGAAGTCTCATGCTAGTATGGAACCTGCCCGATAATTACTAGCTTCCAATGGTTTCTAACTCAAGTCAGTCTATGGTATGAAACTAGATATCTTAACTACTTAACATGTAGTTAGTATAATTATTTTGTTATCAGAATATTAGCTTAAATCTAGGACAATAAATACGTAATTAAGCGTTGCCTCTCTGTGCTAATGTGGTATGGCAACATGAACTGATGCACTTACGTACGAAGTTCTACGTTGCATCTGAATGACTGATATAATTAAGCTTGTCAGCAAAACAGTTAGAGCTGTAGGTTAAGTAGCAAATACCTACCAATGTGGGCAATTCGTTAAATCTCCAAAATCTAAAACGGAGACGAATACCAACCCAATATGCCACTTGTCTTCATAATTAATTAGAAACAAGTGTTTACACATAGAGCAAAAGACCAAAGAATCAAATCCACGACTACTATAGAGACCAACATATCAGTCACGCACGTATGATTTTGAGATGGAGAAAATTTGTAGCTCCGGTGTACGATTTTGATGGTTTCGTTCTCAGAACCAAAACATCCAACTCAGAGAACAAAACTCCACCACATATCAGTTAGTCAGATACAATGTATCACTGAGTACGTAAGTACGCACATCAGTTCAAGTTGCCATACCACATTAGCACAGAGACGTAGTTGTCAACTCAATAATAATAGAAGTATGGGCAGTCGGGAAGTGGCATCCGCCCTCATACACTTAACAACACACGAAATCAAATCAGTCACAATCAAATCTTAATGACTCATCTCCTCGACCAGCCATTTCTTTCATTCTTTTGTCACTTCGCGCCGCTAATGCAAACGTTTTGAGTTCATGATACGTTATTCCTGGTCTCCTGAAACCCTGCTTTAAACTACATATTGAAGCTTTTAATGTTCGAACCTTGTGTCAAATTGGGCAACCAGCTTCCTTATCTAGGACTCTGGAATCTTGTGCCATCGATGTATGTTGCGTCTCCGACGACCAATATATTCTTCTGACCTTGTCCTTCTTCATACTTTAGAACGAAACCTAGTTGAGCGGTTCACTAATAGTACTGAACCGAAAAACCCGGATTTGACTCTTAAACAGGGAAAAAAATGTTTAAATCAAAATTTCCTAATTTATATTTAAAAATCTAAGATTCAATTTTAAACTACCTTTTTATAACCAGATGTTCAGCTGAAAAAATCAAATTGGAATAATGACGAGATTGTTATACAGGCAGGTAGGCAGGCATAGAGTATCTTTTTTGTTTTTACAGAAAACTAGTTTTCAAAAAGAAAGTAAGCTGAAAAAAGATTCCCAATGTTGTTAAGTCCAAGCAATTTAAAAATATAATATTAATTTCTTACAAAATTAAATAACGAACTGATAGAAATTACAAAGAGAAAAAAGATATAAATAAAAGGTTTAATTGAAAAATAACAAACATTTCAATGCATATAGTGCACTGACTGGATCAACACACACACACACACACACACACTAGATGATAATATATACACATTAATAAAGTTCATATATATTATTTTTATCATCAAGTTTCATTAATGTGGTCTAATAGAACCTACACACGATTCAGATTGATTTCTTACACGTGGTATATATTGTTGCTGAATATTATTAATCATAGATGAAGAATCATTTAATAGTTGTAACAAATGTTCCGTAATTAAATCGACACCAACATGATTATCAGGTGCACGTGGCAGTATAACATCAGCATATTTTTTAGTCTAAATAGAAATTTTAAAAAATACAAATAAAATGATATTACAACATAGTGAGAAGTACTTCATTAACAATGAATACATTATGTAACACCTGCGCCATCGCAAACAATTTTGAGTCATGTCGTTTAAAGTCTCTAACCATCTGTTACTATTATCTTGCGAACCTCAACCAGATAGTCTACACACCTACTAACATAACTCAATCCAGTTGTCAGTGACTTCGTGTCATGTTTTGATCTGACCACCCTTAGTTTTCTTCCAGCCTACTCCTTACACCACAAAACATAGCTCGTCGGGGCAGTCGGTCATTATGCATACGTAACACACGTACCAACCACCTCAACTGATGAAGTTTTGAATACTCCATTTATTGATCTGTGTCCTTACCTAGAACTCGTTTCCTAACAACAGCATTGCTTACTCGGTGGTCCCGGGATATATGAGCAATAGCTATGAGACTCCGATGATCGAATACTAGTAACCGACGAATATCCTCTACTTTTACTGGACATGTTTCGCATCCATATAGTAAGATGGAGCGAACTGATGTGCAGTAGACTCGTCCTTTGGTTAGCGAACGGTTATCTCGCCTACGCCACAAGTGACGCGAACTTTCTGTATCTGCGCTGAGACTTCGTCAGTCACCAGGCCATCAGCACTGATCAGACTCCCGAGATAAGTGAAGCGGTCAACATGCTCGACTGCTTAATTCCTTGTCACTAGTCTAGGTGCTGACGCAAGCCAATCCTGACGCAACAGGTTGAAGAATAAAATAAATGGTAGGGGAATGTATGCATTCATTTTGTAACTGCCTAACGAATCAGTTCAAGAACGTGTAGGTTTATTGATTCAATTTTGAATCTAGTACTAGCAAAATGATATGTCGACAAATTCACTAGTATTTAAACTATTAGTTCATTTTGCATAACACCATTAATCAGTTATCATTCCGTATGTGCTGTAAAATTGAAATCTTACATTCAGAATTTTAATTTATAGCGAATGGCTGAGTATAATCATGCTGGTTAGGAAAATAAAGCAAAGATATAATAAATAGGATAAACTATTGAAAAAACAGTGTAGCACTAATGTTAAATGGTTTAGGATAGTTGACAGGAAATCTCGAACCTAAACTAATATCCACATTGTAACATGAAGCATTGCTCGTGTATCCTGAGACAACCGAGTAAGCAATTCTATCGTTAGGAAACGAGTACTAGGTAAGGATGGCAAATCAATAGATGAAGTAGTGAAACTTCATCAGTTGAGGTGGTTGGGACATGTGTTACGTATGGCTAACCACCGACTGCCTCGACGAGCTATGTTTTGCAGTGTAGGAGTAGATTGGAAGAAAGCTAGGGGCGGCCAAACCAAAACATGGCACAAATGCATGAAGTCACTGACAAGTGGACTGTCAACTCAAATCCCATAGTAGTAGAGCTAGTAGACGTGTTAGCAGTAATCAGAAATTTTAGAGTTCGAAGATATTATTCAAGAAATAGAATCTACTGAAAGAAACTTAAAAAGATAAAGGTGATAAGGAATTCAAAAGGTTACAATTTGAGAGAACATAAAGAATGAATGCACATGCGCTATTGTAAACGGCTTTGAGCCATGTCAATGAAGGTCTCTAACCATCAACTACTATCATCTCGCGGGCCCCCAAGGAATAATGTATAGTGTACCAATAGTATATATCATTATTATTAAAAAAACTTCAACATTTAAAATATACTCACCGGCAGACAAAACTCTTCAAATGCTGGTTTAACATATTTAAAGTAATTATCAAGTACCGATTCCAAACAACGACCTGTCATAGAAACATCTCTTAAGACTACAAAAAATTTATTTTCTCGTTGAAAAAATGAATTACCTTTTCTGCACAACCTTGTATCTGCATCGGATTCAATGAAAATTTTCAAATCAAACATATCTCTAATTTCTTTTTGATAAAATGTTAATATTCCTTCTACAATAACAACATCCACATCATTTGGCACCTCTTGAACATCTGGGGTACTAAAGACTAGATGTGAATAAGTTAAATGGTTTTTTTTTACCTTGAATAAGCAGAACAATCATATGTATGAAGGATTACAGGTTTTCCTTGTTTTATTTTTTTTAAAACTTCAATTAAATATTTGAAATCGAATGAATCTAAAAAAAAATATGGAAAGAGAAACTTATGTAAGGCTACATATTATGACAATATTATAGAGTAATATCGGACTTCGTCATGATTATACGCAGACTCTTATATAAGTTTAAATGAAGCACTTAGCACTGGGTATTGAAGCAACTATCCCTTGAAGAAAGTACGACAATGAGTTACATTTCATGTAACCTGCTATATTCAGAAACCAATTGAAGGGCTTAAAATGTTACCACGAACTTCTAATCGATCAGTTATGGTTTATAGACAAGGAATCATTCAGTTTCACATTGCTGAAAGTTAATGGAACCATTATTATTATAATGTTCCGTACAGAATGACAGTTCGGAATCCGGCGATAAAAACTACCCAGGACCAGTAAATCAGATGTCGGTGTAAAGGGATATAGAAAGGTTTCAGAAATCTAAGGACAATGCTCTATACAAATAATTGAGGTAGTTGTAAAATCTTAATGTATCCGGTCTCAACAAAATTTCGAAACCTAAATAATGCGATGAGCCTTAGTGTCGGAGATGTACTCAACCTCTTGAAGTGAGCTTTGTTATTAAAGTACTCCATATACTTAAAGTTAACCTTTTAACTGCCAACAAATATTGGTATGTCTAAGTTTTGAAGTGATAACTACAGAAATGTTACAGCTGTTAATGAAAAATAAAACATAGATACAAACCACCATAGAACTCACTTGGGTGGTCGAAGTCAAACTCACTGTTTAGCGCTAAATTGTGTTCTTCATCAGAAAGTTCACGATAAAATGATGACAAGGAAAGAACCTCAACTTTCTTCCCTTTCGCTTTACTGTATAAGACATCCTTTATCTTTTTGCATGCTTCTGCCTAGAAGCATCTCTCAGTAAAATTAAAATTACTTTTCCTGAAGCTGCTCCTCCACTAATGCCAATTAGAAAAGGTTTAGAGGCTGCTTGGACCATTTAGTGGATGCTCAAGGTCATAAACCAAGTTGCGTGAACTACCTTACTAAGAAATCAATCTTCCAAGGTGGAATGTCTTATGGATTCGCAACGATAAAATATTTTGGAGTTTACGTTGGCATTTGGAGTTCCATGAGCCACTCAAATGCAGTTTTTTTCGTTTTTTTAAAAATAGTCTTCCGAATTTACACTGCCTGATACACTAACTCTGTATTTTATATTGTGATATCAAAATCCAATATCATTTCCACGAGCCAGTATAAACCAATTGATTTCTTTACCATCGATTCTTGTTCTTTCGTTTCTGTTCCGGGTACTTGGTAGTACCCAATGGATGGTAGTCTAGTCATTAGTCTAGTCGTTAATATATATCAAGAAGAGAAGTGGACTTCAGATGGTCCCTTGTGAAACTCCCCATGTTGAGACTAGCCAAATCGCGTGCACTCTATTTACTTTGGTGTGAACTTGTCCATTCTGAAGGTAGTTTCTGAGCCAAGATAGGAATGGGGCAGTGAAGCCCATTTCGCATCATCCGCAATCAGTAGTGCGTGGATTACTGGATCGAAGGCTTTCGCAAAGTCAAAAAATATTATGTGCACCAGTATTTTGTGGTCGCAGCAGTATACCTGATTATCCCATGCTGTGAGAAGGTTGGGTACGAACGAACTTCCTTTCCGAAACCCGTATTGAGTATAATGGAGTATTCTGCTCTTATCCATGTTCTCCCTTATTTTCTTGCTTACCAGCCCTTTCATTACCTTTGGTAGCATTGGTAGCAGTACGACTGGTCTGTGACAAGCTGGATCCTTCCGATCACCTCCTTTGAGAATTGGAGAGAGTAGCTTGTTTCCATTGATTTGGGAGTTCGTGTTACTCCAGTGAATATCTTAATGGGTTACATATCGGTGAACTGTAGGCTTCTGCACACTGTTTCAAGGCTGTGGAGCGAATACTCTCACGTCCTGGTGACTTTCCGGAGCGCAAGAACTTTAGTTCCCTTAGTAGAAATTCAGGTGTAAGTCAAATAATGCCTAGGTCGTTAACAGGCATTGGGTATGAGTAGTACTTTGGATACTATCTGGTTTAACTGATCGGTGAAGTTGGTGTTGAAGATCAAACTCATCTATAGGTTGTTGAGCTCTTCGCCGAATGTACCTTTGAGGGAACAAACACTGATTCGTAGGTTTTCCCTTCGGCATGAAACTAAATGTATGCCTAAGGTGCGCCTGTATTTCGGCAAACAGCTTCATCTGAAACCGTCTCCTATCACTTTGAACTTTGGTATTGCATCTGTTTTTCAATGCCAAGTAAGAAATACGGTCGGAATCCTCCAAAGAGACCTTCCACCTGTACCAGGTTCTACTTTTCGTTCGTATCAGGCGTTCAGTGCCGAGTTTAATCAATGTTCTTCTGTTTCCAGGTGTGTTTTGCCTGAATTACATTGTCTGGTGCAGTATTCTGGATGATGTCGCTAAATGTTTGGCAGTGATCACCTACTCTTATCCTTCATCCTTTTCGTGGCCATGGGGCATGTACAAGATTCTCCCTCATGCACTTATAATTTGCCCTAGTGTAGCAAATGTAGGACTCGTTTCAGTCCTGCCTGAGTACTTCGTTCGAGACAAATCAAAGTGAAAAAAGCGTGAGTGAGCCTAGGTGTTTACACTTTGATATGCTACATTTCGAGCGTTACCTCGAAGAGCGAAGCTACGATGTTCTTGATAAGTTCGTCACTTAGTATGCTTGAGGCTATTACGAGTTTACCTTAGTCGATAAACGCGAACGAGACCTTTACCAGCTTCCAGGAAGGCTACCTTGAATCCGAGGCTCAAGAGAAAAGGCTTTGTAAGCGTAGAAAGTATATTCTACAAACACCCAGCAATCACAGTGCAATCAAGCATACAACTCTCGTTTATTTATACAACATAGGAACGTCCTTGAGACAGTTAAGAAAATAGCATACTAAAATACACTGCAGCCAATCACAGCCATGGATTTTCCTGGTGGGAATTGAAATCTCAAGGTCATCTGATCAGCCCATGCTGGCAAAACGTGAAAACCATTATCAAGCGAATTTTGGGGATCGAACATCCCCAACAGTTCTGGAGGGATGTTCATGTTGAGATGATTGGACGTACTCAACATGTTGCACAACATTATAGGAGAATCCATTCTGAAGGCTTTGTTTTGGGAAAATCCCTCCATGTACTTATTTATAATATGTTCTTACTGACTCTTTCTGTGTTACATTTCGGTGGTCTGTTTAATCCCATTTCGGGATGTTAATATTTGTATTTTGTCATAGTTTCTATTTTTGTACCTTTATTGGAGTTTCTATGTTTTCTACTGAACTGTATTATGTTGTTTAAATTGGTACTTAATTATGGCTTCAGTCATATCGGACTTGATACTTTGGCAGGTGAACCGTGCATCTGGACTGGAAGGGTGCGATTTCGGACGGAAAACAGTGTAATATTGTTCAGGTAATTGTCTGTATTTTTTGATTAATAATAGAACCGTTTCTTACCCAGATATATTGCTTTCTATTTGGATTAACTGGGCAAGTTGTGACATGTATCAAAGTCGATAGAGTTCGGATAATGGAAGAGAAGTTGAAGTAAGATAATAGATAATGAAAGTGAAAATTAGCCCAATTTGAAGCCACCTCTATTTCAAAATGTGTCCATATTAATTTAGTGTCGTTCAGTATGCAACTTAATACTTTCAACTTGAACTACAAAACCTTGATCAAACGATTCTCCACCGTCAAAAGTGGTGATAATCTGATTTAAAACCTTCGGTAATATTGCATTCTCTTTCTCCTGATGATCGACTATGTTGCGAAGACGTCAACATCTGAAGGGAAGTACGTAAAACATTGGACAGTTAGAATAAAGCCGGAAGTTTTGTACAGATACAACCATGTGAAACGTCAAACTTCGAGATCAGAAGGCTGGATTCAGTAAGGATCGATCATTTAACGACTGAGTCGCGATACTACGCATCACTGTGAAAAAATCAGTCGAATGGAATCCATCACTTCACACCAACTTCATTGACTACGAGAAAGCACTAGACGGCGTTGACAGGCTGACACAATGTGGAAATTCTTCCACACTATGGCATGCTTGAGAAGACAGCTCGGATTCAGCTGGATGATATAAACCTCGCAGTTGGTCTAGACAACAAATGCAAGAGAAGACGACCAGTACAGCAATCCCTCCACAGCAGGAATCAACATGCATGAAGGGAAAACAAGATTCCTTGACACAACACAACATGCACCACCCAAATTTCACTTGACAGAGAAGCTTTGGAAGATGTCAAAACCTTTACATTTCTGGGGGGCGGGACAATTGGTGATCGAGGTTAATCTGGTACGTGTGTGAAGGCGTGGATAGGCAAAGCAAGAGCTGCATTTCTACAACTGAAGATCATCTGGAACACGAAACAACTACCAACTAACACGAAAGTCAAAATTTTCAATACAAATGCCAAGAGAAATCTACTGTATGGAGCGTTAACTTAGAGAGCTACAAGTTTTCATTACCGGATGTCTACAAAAAAAAGAATTCTGGCCAGTTGACCAAACACAATCAGCAACAATTTTCTGTTGGAGAGAACTAATCAGATTCCATTAAAGGAGGAAATCAGGAATAAGCGCTGGAAGTGGATAGGACGCACATTGCGGAAAGCACCCAGCTGCGTCACAGGATAAGCGCTCACATGGAACAGACGAGGGCAAAGGAAAACAGAAAAACCAGGGAACCTTTCTGGAACAATTTGTCTTAATCATTATTCCCAACCTCTCTTGATCCATACTAAATTAGTCTACACTTTTAAGAACTCAGGCCCTCCGTTTACATATCTGTGTACTAGTTGAATATTTAGATACCTCCCACCGCCTTTGGGCATTGAAAGACCAGGCCTTTGACTGGAGTGCTAACAGACCAATTACTGCATAATAGAATGCCAAAATCTGGTAGCCAGGGTTTTTAGTCCAAGAACAGATGGAACATACTCATTAACTAGAAGAAGAATACTGACACAAGCACCCTCCTTTTCCTCAGCGTAAGGTTAGCTTTGCCACTAATAAGTAATTCGTGGTCAGAGATTGCTCTGCTTTTAGGACTAGATGTAGACAACATTATAAAGTAACAGCCCATTTCTCACAGAAATAATTGACTCTACTCATGTATTGGTAATTAAGCTTTGCATTGCTAGTGAGATAATAAAGAGAGAGAGGAAGAAAACGGCAATGATTCCATTGTTCTGTCCAACTGTTTTAGACCCATAATTTTTCAAAGCTCTAGTAGTAAATCACTTGCAACTTCTACAAACCTTTAATATCTATCAAACCTTTCCATATTTGCGGCCACAAGTATAAGGAAACAGACATGAGCCACGAAAATATAGGGTTTACCATTCAAAGACAAATTCGAAATATTTTTCAAGCTATTCACTTGCCAAGATGAAATGGAACAGTTGTTGTTAGAATAAAACTGTAATCTCTGTAGTAAAATAGACTCATTCACATCATGTTATTCCGTAATGTCGTACTGATCATTAGTAATATCGTCAAAGGTAAAACAGAAATCTTTGGTTATCTGAACATGTCAAAAGGAATTTCTATCAGCTGATTCTCTAGCCAAGGATCATTTATACCAACAATCAGATAGTCACGATGTTAATTTCCGTATTTATTCGGCGAAACTGCACTTAAAAACTTGTGCTCAAATTCTAATATTAAATATCTGATAATTTGATTCGGAGAAAGAACTGATTTGACTTGTTTCAAACGTGAAAATGGTAAGTCCGTAATCTCATTGCTTCGTTAAACAGAAGTATAATTAGTTAAGTGAAGTTAATTCAAACACTTCCACGAAGAAGAATGAAGTAGAGACAAGCTACAACTAAATATTTTCGCCAATCCAAAATTTCTTGAGATCATCGTATTGTTGTTTGAGTGTTTCGCGAAATATCGTCCTTGCAAAGCCGAA